AGAAAGCGAAATTGACGAGAGTCAGCTGCCAACTGAAGTTGCAGGCAATAGCGAGCGAGACAATGACTAAGCAGGCGGCTTCCACCATAAGACCGAGTTGTGAACCGGAGATCTTCTCCAGACTGGGTGCGTCTGCAGCCAGGCGAGCCGTCAGAATGCCCGGCTGGTTCTCATGCTGGTCGAACCAAGCGATCTCCTATAGGGGGCAAGAAGCAGAGAGAGAGAGGGAGAGCCATAATGAACTGCACCAATCAAATGCCTTCCCACTTCGTACCAGTCAGGTGGTGGCGACCGATACCGTGGAGTGAAAATCAGGGCCGGGGGGGGGGCATGACACACTCTTTAAACCGAAACAGGTTCTTTATTAAACAAACGCTCAAACGCAACTAGCATGAATTTTGGTTCACTGTTGTCCTTCTATTCTTTAGACAGGTGCCTGACTAAATCAGCTGCAAGTAGATTTATGTGATATGATGTTTCCAAGCATAAAAGCAGCTGAGCTCATGGGCACAATCCACTGGCGGACTGACAATCACCAATTAACTTCAAGTGATGGACGGAACTGAGCATGCATTGTAGGTGTCGACGGAGCATGCAGATAGTTGTATTGCGATTGGCAATACAACACCGTTTAGAGCTATCCACAAAGGACTAGAGAATCAAAAATGACCCTTCCTTGGGAGATAACTTAGACTCAGAAATGGCCACTTTAGTGGTTCAGAGCCGGGTTCAGTTTGCCAGTAAGCAATTTTTGGGTCAAATTTTATTGACGCGTTCAAACATCGAATGCAATACTGGGATCCGAGATTATAATATAATAATTAATTGTGATAAGGAATATAAATACGATTATTTCGGCTTCCAAGGGCCCTGCAAGCGGCAATTTTCTTCAAATTCACACTAAGGATAGCAATTTTTTCCCTTTTTCCTTATTTTCGGAATACTCTACCCTTGGAGCTACTCAATGTTTGCCAAACTACCATAAACCCACTGTATCGTATAAAAATGAAAGGACTCAACTTTCAACCTACCTGTTTTAGGATTGCTTTAAACAACATTCCGCGAACGCGTTTGGTCAACTTTTCGCCGGAAATGCCCAGAAGTGTGCGCTGAAATTAGAGTATGTTATGCAGATATTAAAGTTGCAATTACGAAAAAGCGTATTGAGATCTAAAACTGAATAAGTGAAGCCAAATGCCTATCAAGACTACAGCATGGCAAAGGCTGTATGCAAAAAGCCTGACAAAATGTGACTCAGTAGTTTCGCATATATTTGGTCACGTCATTTTAATCCCCTGAGTGGATGTAATCCCGAGAAAGCCCTTTATTTAGGAAAACTGCCATATTAGTTAAGATAATTAAGGGAAGTGGGAATTAATTTTGGTTAAATCGGGAGTATCCTCATATCAAAGACACTTCCTATGCTATTAAGTACGACAGAACCAGACGTTCGATGAATACTCATTGAGCTATGGGAGAACTTTAAAAACAAGTAAAAAAGTGTAAAACACATCCCTCTCAAAAGCGGAAAATTTAGCCTGAAGATTCTCAAATTCAAGTGAAGCCAATTTTAAGAAGTCCCATTTATTTTCCGAAACAAGAAAAAATCTCAGTTTTAAAATTGTTTTTTTGCTAACCTGTGAAGTTCTGTTTGCCACAAAATGCAGTAAGAAAAAGGTTTCCGTCCAATATTGTTTTGCCACATCAAGTATTTGGAAAACAACGAAAACTTCCCATATATTATCGTGGAGGTGAAGTTAAAACCAGATCCTATTAAATCTTAATCATGTACAGATGTATTCTTTGTACACAATACTTTCTGCTAATGCATAATTTACAAAAGGAACAGCCAGAAAGTTAATAACTACTGCAATATATTAGGAGGCATTTGGCGACTCGTCTTTGCCTTCACAAGCTTAAAACGTAGACCGGAAGTAATCCACTGTAGCGGAAGGAACTCTAGTATAATGCGAAAAGTGATTTCTTTCATTTCCAGCCAAATTGTATCTTTTTTTTCAGGTTAACTAAAAAACTTGTCAAAAATGTACAGTTTCATTTTAACATTGCCTTGGGAAAAGTTAAAATGCACATCTATTCGGCAGCTGTATATATTTAAAATGTTTTTCGTCAAAAGGAGCTTATGAAGCCCCACTCATATATCCCTAATCCCAGCATTTCGTCCTGCAGAAGCGGTGGTTATAGAATTTTGTGGGGTGGGGAAATAGGATAGGCAGAGAAGAAAATTTTTAGAAGTAAATGGGGCGGAGAAATAGGATAGGCAGAGAAGGAAATTTTTAGAAGTAAGTGTATAGTGAAAAAATGTAGTCGAAGCTGCTTCCCGTGGCCGCTGGGAGCAGGTTGTTCCACATGTAAATTGAATGTGTGCGCGGACTATACCAATCTAACTCCAGAACGGTAAGTTGGACCACAGGTAAGTTGAAGTAGACGACCAAGCACCATTTAAAGTTTTCGGGAAATTCAAGAAACCTGCGGTTTGATAATCGGGTTTTTCCTCAATAAATTGAATGATAATACATATTAGGAAAATCACCTAAACACAGTACGTAAAATGAATTTAGCATTTATTAAAGTGTTTTCCACTGCGTGTCCTAATTTCCCGCCCATAACCACCGTTTTCGTAGGAAAATATGCAGGTTGTAGGGATTAGTGAATGGGGTTACATAAGCTACTGTTGCCTGCTTTTCAATGAGGTGAACTATTACAGAAAGTTTTTTATTTATCTCAGGAATAACAATATCAGACATCTGTTGCGGACGTTCTTTTTGCTGGACAATGTGTGTCGCTAGATGGAAGAATTCCTAAATATGGCTTACATGGTTATCCTCATACGAACTAAAATCCAAAAGCTCATTTTTTCGGAAAATGCGTTTAATAAACATCTTATTTTGAAGGTTGTGATAGAAACGTTGAAGGGAATGTGGATTTAGGAACGAAAATTGGAAGACACTGAAAACGCTGAAAAATTTATCGGAATTAAAGGTCAATCGGTAAGAAATTGTGCTAAAATGACGGCAATATTTTAAAATATTTTGACTAAGGAAAAGTTCGTTTTATATAAAGAAAGTGATAAGGTGATTTATTCAACTTAAGACTAGATTTAAATACATTACTCTACCTTATAGCTTTTTTATGTCTTCGGAACTTGGGGATCCTTAAGAAATGTATATTTCTCTTTATGAACAATTGGTAGTTTTTACATGTCCTTTATTTTAGTTGGCTTAATTGCGAAAAAACTGACGTCATTCGGCGGGTTTTGAACCCGCATAGTAGGAAAGGCATTTAAGCAAAGCCAGTGCTCTCCCAGTTCAGCTACAAATGCCACGCCTAGCACAATTGGGTCAAATAAATTAAGCAGAGCTGGCAAACCTCTTAAATAATATTTCTTTTAGGCAAAAAATTTGCCTAAGGTTCTTAATTTTTATTTCTAGGTTTCTGTTTATACGTTCATATCGGTAGGCAAATAATGATCATGGAGGGTAACAATCGATTAAAAAACTGTATATTACTTAAGTTAACATTGTTTTACAAAATATAATTTCAGCAGGCGATCAGAAAGAATTTTTTTATAAGCTGGCATCCAGAAGTAGTTGAAATATATTGATACAACGTGGTACGATAACCAGTATTACAACCCTATTTAAGTAGTTTGTTCGAATCGAAAATACTTCTAAGCATTTCGTTTGGCCTCTCATATGATCTGACATCTACTAAAGTTCACAGTGTGTTGAATCTTGACTTGAACTGAAGTCAAGTGTAGACCACTATGGAGACCGGCGTGCCACCTTGTAGGCACTGGACGACAGTCGACAAATTGCAGAAATAACTTGACTAGCCTCGCCATGGAAAACTGCAGCTTTTGGATTTTTATCAGCAGCTAAGCCGGTCCACACACAGGCACAAAGCAGAAGGCATTCTTTTGAATTTCTGTAAATTGCACACGCAAAGGCTTATGCTCTCTCCTGTTCTGTTTGTGGTAGCCGCAATGTGATAATGGTCACTCGAAAACCTTTATATACCTTAAACACACGTTTAGACGAATCATACCTGGAAAAATGTGGCAACCATGCGCATCGCACCAAGGACGGTCATTGCCACAGCCAATTCGTTGGCCCTCTCCTGCATTTTTTTGGGCCGGAGAATATGCTTAAAGATCTAAAATGGTAAAATAAACCACTTTTCGAAATTTTTGCTGCATCTCTTGGACAAAACCACATATAAAAACGTCGTACATGTCCGTCTGGACTAGCCGATATATATGCTGTTTCGTAAAACTTCCACTTCTTTGATGACGACCTTGTGAACTAGTGTCAAAAATTAACGATAAAGTTTCCTGCTGTTTCCCAAAGGACTTCTTCAACCGAAGGATATATACATATATACGATATATATATATATATATGCATACATATATCATAAGGATGTTATACCGCAATTCCACTACCTTTTTGTAGAATGAGCACTCCGTGGCCATTCTATGGTAGTTCTTCGACTCAAATGTTCATTGAAATATAGGGCTGACCCTAAAAAGCCATGCCCACCCACCAAATTCTATGTCATGCACTTAATAATTTCCACAATAATTTCCTTGATATATATATTTATATGTGTCAGTGATTTCCTTCAATGATGAGGGTGATGGGGAAGAATAAGGTCTTACTTTTCATCCTTTAAAATATCCCATGTATTACGGGAAAAGTATTTTTTATATAGATAAAATCGGACATAAGAAGACACGCAGGTTAAAAACACACTTACGTCAAACATTTCCGAGTAGACTAAAGCGAACAGTGGTTCAACAATGCCAACAGCGATAGCCATAAGCAAACCACCAAAAAGATACGGATACTCCGGCCTGTTAAGACGGAGCGCAGGGAACATAGGAAACTGAAGAATAGTAGAAAATGATTTTTAACAAGACAACTTAAAACAGTAAATATGTGAGACTAGATTTGTAATTATCTATGTTTTTTGGGTTCGTTAAGATATCTGGTAAGAGGGAAGAAAAAATGCCAGCAAACTCTACAGCCATCATAAACAAAGAACTGTAGCATACCCGTTCCTTGAATGACAAGGACTGCTTCACCATCGATTCTACTTTATCTTCCGGTATCTTCTCCACCTCCATTTCATCGTCGTCTTCCTTATCCTAAATTGAAAAAAATAGCCAGTAAACATGTTGTAGAGACTCTCCCCACCCAAAACCCAGATGAATCTTCAACATGCAGGCAGAAAAACCATGTTTAGTTAGATTACCTTCTTTTTGAAAATGTGAACGTTGAATTTGTCCATTTCACTGCTGGGTCTGGATGCATCGGGACCAGTCTTGTTGTCGTCGGCCAGATTCTACAAAACAGCCAAAAGCCAGAAAGAGCTTGCTAGCCACCAGCCCTGAGTAAGGTTACCATCCTTCTTGTGAAGGCCCTAAGCTTACCTGGGCCTGTAGCATCTTCCAGTACCTTCCCTTGGCCCGTTTTAGTTCTTCATGGCTTCCGATCTCCACGACGTCTCCCTCTTGCATAACGATGATTTTGTCAGCATTCCGTACTGTTGTCAGTCGGTGCGCCACCATAATGACGGAGCGACCAGAGCAAGCAGTGTTCAACGCCTGCTGTACG